GAATAAAGGAATTAAAGTATAAATACCCATGATAAGAAAAAGCTGCTTTTAAAGGATTTTTAGATGTTTTCTATAGAAATTAAATTATGTGTCCCATATTTATGAATTCAGTTCTGAATTCCAAATTTTCTCAGGAGTAAAGTCTACAGGTCTTAGTGAGTAATTCATGAAAATCTTGAGAGAACCGGATACATTGTGACACAGCTGCTTTGAGAAGATAAGCATATGCTAATATATATTAATATAAAAAGAGACTAGTTAATATATATTCGCTTAATTGTTAAAACACAATTAAAGTTAAATATATACTTATCTAGAATATGATTTCATGAAGCCGGTGTTCTTATAAGAATTTGTTGAAAACTGACAGAAATTTCCTCTAATATTGAAAGATTTGCTACTAATAGTCCCCAAAACTATTGTTCTGTAACTTTGAAATTTCAGTGTGCATTATGAGAAACTACATTTACTGAAATACTGATTTTTAACTTAACTCACTGCCATCACGTCAATATCTACTCATAGAGACGCTGTAGGACAGAGTTGAACTACCCTGTGGGTTTCTGAGATTGTAACTCTTTACAGGAATAGAAAATCTCCTCTTTCTCTCTGGGAGCTAATGGTGATTTTGAACTGCTGACCTTGAGATTAGCAGCCCAACTTATAACCTATTATGCCATCAGAGCTCCTCTAAAATACTCTTTTTAGAACCTGTATTTGTTCTCTGAAAGTTGTCCGTTATGTTTATCATAAAAGGATGATGATTTCTTCCCCCAACAAAATAATAATGAGCATACCATGATTTCATTGCCTTTGGTCTTACCAATGTAAAGCCCATAAACAGATTATAAGAAGTATATATATATTCTCTCCAAATTAGGAGCACAGCAAAAGGCATATTGATCATTTGGTAATATGACTTTTCAAGTAAATTACAAATAATATAACTGATAGGTTTTATTACATAGTATAGAGTGGCAGTTTGTCAAAATTTTAGTCAAATTTGACTTTATTCCTTTCCCTTAGGCACTCGTAGTAATACATTGCAGTGACCAGAATATGTGTAGTTTGAAAAATATAAAGTGATTCCTGCTTGTCTCGCTTGCCTCTTAGCTGATATTGCCATCTCTATTTTGTACCAGTGGCTATTCTTAGATTTGAATCATGGCAACCATACTTAGAGATACCCAGGAAGAATTCAAAACTTCTGAAATTATACTTAGCTTCTCAATCCTTCACTTCATCTGATACCTCAGCTCCCTTAAAAGACTTGTTAATTAAGCTGAAGCATGTGGTTATCAACTATGTACAGTACTTGTATTTGCTTAAAAAATGTTATTTGCATGCAATATAAATATAACCTCCCATTCAACAACTAAAATTCTTAAATGTGATTTCCCTGGAACCAGTTAGGTTGGGTGTGTGTCAGGCAGTCACATTTTACATTAATAACATTTGATGAGTTATTTATTCAGTCTGACTTGAGCTTGTTAGAACTAAGCTATTTTTCAAACTTCTATAATAATAATTACACTCAACTGATTCTTAAAGGTGGTCTAGTTTCTGTTCCGATGACTTAGAGAAAGATTATTTGTTCTGAATTAAAAGCATGGAGTCCAGGTATCCTTTATCATTATATACTAGACTGTGTTCTAGAGACAGGCTTTGGAAAGTAGCGCTTCTGTGAGCCTGGTCAAGCCACAACTCATAGCCTTCTCATACAGGATCCACAACATACCTCTCAATTTGCTGTCTGGGATCCTTATATTTAAGTGAAATTTAATGTATCCTGTATCTTTCCGTCAAAATTGACTTGATGCTTTCGGCTAAACATTGGACCGTTAACAACAAGATCAACAAGAATTGACTCTATGAAAATATGGTATATCGGTTATAATACCCCGCGATTGAAACATAGTAAGCACTCTAGTCTATCAAAATATAAAGGATGCTTCACAACAATCATGGGAAAACTGCATTAAAATATAATGGCATTTTTCCATAAACTTCTTAAAGCTCCCTATATTCCAGAAATAGAAAATTCTGCCCTAACAGATTGGAAAGCTGTTTCAATGTCATTAAAGCTAAATTTAAATTAGTTTAAACCTATTTCTTTATAAATTACAAGTCACTAAGTTTTAGTATATTTTTAAATGAGGAGGCTTCAAAAATTTGTGAAAACATGGAATTAAGAGACTATGGAATTTTTCTACAATATTTTGGAAGCACTTTCATTTAGAACACGTCACAATTTTTAAATTTCCTAATAGATATTGATGATTATTTTTCATTAGACATTCTTATTTCCTAAATCTGACTGTTAAAAATCCCAAGGTGATAAGAATAGTTTTCTTTGTGTGTAAATGTAGTTATTTAAATATTAATTCCTTTATTGAAATATTAAATCCTTTCACAAAGTTATATTGAGGTTTATCGTGTACCTGGTAAAGCACTTGGTATTATAAACACAAAGTTAAATAACATATGCCATCTCCCTACCTCTAAGTACCTGTGCGTAATTAGTATTGATTAATTTATGTTCAATCTATAAATATTTAGTTAAATTGAAAATTTTTTAAATTTTATTTTCCCAGAGGGACTACGTGAATTCCGGTATAATATTGAATATGAATCAGAAGCTATAAAGGCTACCTTGGAATCCTGTATTGCTTTGTATTTGATCAAAACAATTCATCATATTAATTCTGAAACAATAACAATGATATTCAATATGGTATTTTCACCAAAGAAACCATTGAGGTAAATCTACTTCCCTTCCTTTTTTTCTTTAAACAATGTCATTACTCTTTTAAAGTACATAATTTTTCATTCTTTTTTCTATCTTTCTATATAATGATTGCATTATATCTTTGATCCTGTTGAGGTAAATATTTTGAGTTAGATTATTTAGCTATCAAATTATTGTGGTGAGGAGCAAAATCCAAATTGTTTGAAATCTAAGATGACCGTCAGTAATCATGACTTCTCTAATTAATCATCTTTAGGGTATCCTGTTGAAGAATGAAAGCAGTCAGATTGGTAGAATGTTCCCCCCAAAAGTGCTGACTGGGTGCTGTATATTGGCAACATACTTATTCTTGATGCTGTGTCTCATAACAGTTAAATATTGAATGTACATAAGTGATGTTCTAAGTTGCAACTTCTTTCATTTTCCTTCTGCCATTCAACTCTATAACATTGTTCATCCCCTAGTAAGGTGTAAGTGAATCACAGTGAAATCTAAGAGGACACTAGGTTTTGCATGCTTCTCCTCTGGAAAACTCACTGTCTTTTTATTGACTTTTGGGGGCAGTTGATACTTAAGACCTACAAATACTACATGATATGCCAAATCATGTAAATAAGGCTTTATTTACATCTTAATGTAGAGGTACCAGTTAGGACCACAATATACATGAAGTAAAAATACAATGTAACACATAATAAGCAATGAAAAAGCAATTGAAAGTAGTAAGCTCTATAGTTTGAATATGCATTTGATGTATATATATATATATATATAAAAAGTGTCTATGAATTTGTAGACCAATACCTACAAAACACAAGGGTTATCTTCAGACATCCATAATATAATTAAGGTACAAGAAGAAAGTCGATTATAAACATTGACATTACACCCTTTTGTTTTTCTCTGATTTTTAATGGTTATCTTTTAGTAATGTTCACATTTAGCTTTGTATTGTATTAGTTTAATGTTATGGAAATCAGCAGCAGTAATTAGAGGGAACTGATGAGACAATATTGGTGAATATAGGAAAAGTCAATGTAATTTTTTGCTCCTTCAACATTTGTGCATTTATATCTTATTAGTAAATACTTAGGTATTTGTCTAAGATGGTGGTTCTCAACCTTCCTAATGCCATGACCCTTTAATAGGGTACCTCATGTTGTGGTGACACCCCCAACCATAAAATTATTTTCATTGCTACTTCATAACTGTAATTTTGCTACTATTATGAATCAGGCGACCCCTGTGAAAGAGTCATTCGAAACACCCCCCCCTGCCCTAACGGGGTCGCAATCCACGGGTTGAGAACCGCTGGTCTAAGACAACTTGTGTGCCTGATTCATTAATTTCTATGAGTGATTTGTGATGTTCCAATGTCTGTTCATTATATTTAACATATAAATGCACATACTCATTTAGTTCTGCCCTTTCTTCTTCCATATGTATTTGACATGGTTGTCTGGAAGAGAAAGAATTAAATAAGAAAGAACAAAATAAAAACAATAGCTCTAAAGTGTAAATAGAAGAACAGGAAAATAATGCCTAAAGCCATACTTTCCCTAGGAAACTGAAATAAGTATAAAATTCAACTATTCTCTTTCTGACTCACAAAGAAAAAAAAGCGAACATTCACATTTTGGTTAACAAACACTCATGTACTTGGAATGGCTAATAGGAGGAGACAGAGTTAAATATGAAAAATTAATATAAATCAATTTCTAAAAATTATAAAAGTTCTCTTCTACATAGACGAAGAAAAGGGTAGAATTGGGAATACCAGTCATGATGCTCTTGAAATAGTGCAAAGGAATATAGTTTAATTTACTGAGAGCAGAGTGTGAGAAAAGCGTAAATTTAGGGTTTATACTTGGGATGTTTTACATTTAGATTCTATATCAACCATCCTGGACTATATTACACTCCATAGTATTCCACAAGTACCCTATAGAAAGAACATTTAAACAATTTTATTCACAGTTTTTTGAGAGTACATAGAAGTCATAGAGAAATGGACACTTTTATACACACTACTACTTGAAATCTTGGATGTGTAACTCAGGGCAGTGGTTCTCAACCTTCCAAATGCCATGTCCCTTTAATACAGTTCCTCATATTGTAGTGAACCCCAACCATAAAATTATTTGCATTGCTACTTCATAACTGTAATTTTGCTACTGTTATCAATCGTAATGTAAATCACAATGTGTTTTCCTATGGTCTCAGGCGACCCCTGTGAAAGGGTCATTCGCCCCCAACAAAGGGGTCGCAACCCACAGGTTGAGAACAGCTGCTCTAGGTGAACTGACTACTGTTATTGTTAACTGCCATCAAGTATGTTTCAACTTATAATGACCCTGTGTTATAAAACACTGCTCACATGTTTGAGCCCATTGTTGAAGCCACTGAGGTGCTTCATCTTTCTTGCTGAACGTCTTCACCAAGCATGATATATGACTAGGGATTGGTCATTTTTGATATGTCTGAAATACTTGAGACAATCACCTCTTGTGAATCCAGCTTAAATTTCTGGCAGTACATAGCCCGTGTACTGCAGCAACTGTTTTTGTTAGGGGAAATAACTAATAGTTAAATTTCTGAGTTGGCATATGTAACTTTTAGATTTGGTAGATTATTATCCATTGTGCCTCAAATTGCCCAATTTTACAGCCCTACCTGGAGAATATAAAAGTTCCTAAAAAAAAAAAAAAGGTTCCTAGACTATTCTTTCTATTAGCTTTGTGATTTCCTTGCCCAGCCCTGACTTTTACTAAAACCACACCTTTTACATATTTGAGTCATATCCACCCTAACCATGCAAACATATGATATTGTCTCCATTCCAGATACCATCTTATTTTTTTCCTCTTCTCACTCAAATGTTTTAATAGTCTGCCTCTACCTTCCATCAATGATATGCAATTCTATAAGGTGCTTGTGGCTATTATTACTTGGAATTAATATTTTTAGAAGTCTTCAGTTAATTTTGTGAGACTTTTTAGGTGTTCAGGAAACATATTTCTATATGAACTATTAATTGAAAAGATTCTCACAGTGTTTCATTTCAAAGAGAAAATCCATAGATAAATGACTGTTTAGTCTAACACTGGGCCCATTGACCAAGCTACATAGTCCATGGCACAGTGACCCTATGCACAACAGAATGGTAAACTGCTCAGTCCTGTGCCATCCTCACAATTGTTCCTTTACTTGATCCCATTGTTGCCACCACTGTGCCAATCCATCTCTTTGAGGGCCTTCCTCTTTTTCACTTCCCCTATATTTTTCTAAGCATAATGTCCTTCTCCAGGGACTGGTCTGTCCTGGTAACATATCTTAAGTACTTAAGATTAACATATCTTAAGTACTTAAGATTAACATATCTTAAGTACTTAAGATGAAGTCTCACCATCCATGCCTCTAAGGAGCACTCTAGACAGACGTATTGGAAGATAGTATATTTTATGTTGGTTACAGAAAGTTTGAAGAGTCTTATCTGCAAATGCTACAGGTTATTAGTAAATGTAGAGAGTAGATAAAATGCCCTACAAAATAATTACCCCAAATAGAGAATGATACTATAAACTATGGCCTATTATTCCTGAAATGTAATTAACAGTGCCCTGGTAAAACTGTCAGGTAAGCATTGGATTGCTAACCTCAATGTCCATGGTTGAAATGCACCAGCCTCTCTGCTGGAGAAGGATGAAGCTGTCTGCACCTGTAAAAATTTACAAAGCCTTGGAAACCTTACAAAGGGTTGCTGTGAGTCGGAATTCACTCGATGGTAATGAGTTTGGGTTCACTTTTTTTTTTCTTGAATGCAAACTCACATTGGTTTTGCTTACATTTTACTTACAGTTTACTTACTTACAGTTTACTTACATTTTCCCCTTAGTTGTTTATTTACTGATAGTAGTCTCTTTTCCTATTTTCCTATGAGTATCATTTAAAATATCTTCTTTTATTCAAGGACTCAAATTATACTGAAATTAGAGTGCCCAAAAGACGGGATTTGGAGTTTTCCCATAATTTTGCATGCTACGGAGCCAGATGTGGACGATATCATTAACATTGAAGGGATTGGTTTATTTAAGGAAGCTGTCGTCAACTTCACTCTGACAAGCCAGACAAGGTAATATAATATGTCAAGCAGAAGTTCTTGTCTCAGTTTTGTGAATATCCTTTATGGTGAACTGTGGAACCAATTTTAAGTTGGAAAATCCCACTAAGACATAGTTTGCTGGTTATGCTAGAGCATTATCATTCTATGCCTCAAAGTTGCAGATATTTTGCACTTTTTGATTTACAAAATAGGAAAATAGAGCCTTCCATGTAAGCATCCAACAGGAGAGAGAGAGAGAAGCAAACATAAATGGCTAGATTTAGAACTATTAGGGAACATTTGTTTGTCAAAGGAAATTTTCATGCATTAAACATATTTTGTAGTTAGGTACTATCAAATTGGTTCAGGCTCTTTGAGACCCAGTGTACAACCGCGTGACACACTGCCCAGTGCTGCATCATCCGCACAATTGTTGTTCTGTATGAATCCATTGTGGCAGCCACAGTGGCAGCTTATCATTGAAACATTCAAAACCACAATGGAGACAAGACGAAGAGTGAATGCATGCAGGCCAGATAATTGGTTCTTTCTGTTGTTCACACAATACGGCGGTACGTGAACGTTGTTGTTTTTGTTTGGGAGGGGGGAGTGCAGTGAGGAATTGACTAAATTCAGTGATGGATTTGAGAACTAGGATATTTCTATTAAAGTTTATGTATTCCGAATCCAGAAGAACACCTGTCAGAAAATCACTACATGGTCTATTATTATAGACATTGTGCTATCTCAAGAAAGTGTGGAAATCTCACTTCCATTTGGGTCTCTTTACGCTTCTGACTTTTTCATTGTAAATTTATTGAGTATTTCGACTACATGTATGGAGCAGGCCTTATACGTTTTACTTCAATTGTCAATATCATTTTTTAAATTCATGAGGAGAGTTCATTATACTCAACCCAATTTTGACCCATTCCTTTACTCCTATTCCTTCCTGAGGCCCCAGCTCCTCCCACCCCTGTTTTCACACATTAGGAATTCTTGAAGGATAATTATAAACCCACTCTAACAGTCCTATGGGACAGAATAGAACTGTGGGTTTCTGAGACTAACTTTTTACGAAAATAGAAATCCTCATCTTTGTACAGTTTCAGACTATTGACATTATGGTTAGCAGCCCAACATGTAACCCACTGGCCTCAACTGCCTCTTTAGGGTCACTATGAGTTGGAGTCTACTCAATAGCACTGAGGGGATTTTTTGGGGGGGAGGAGGTGTTAATAGATTTTGACTCTGAATCAATAGATCAGTGAAGAATGATTCCTTTTGGGGTTTCTGAGATTGTAATTCTTTACAGGGTAAGTATCCAAGAAAACCAAACTCACTGCCAGTTCCAACTCACAGTGACCCTCAAGAGTTTAGTGTACTCATGACAAATTCCCTTAATTTTCTGGGTTAATGGGAATAATGTAGGAATTTTTCATACATTATTATAGAATATTTTATCTTGATAAAGAATTTAGAGTTTCCAGTTATGCTCTATTAAACTGCAAACCAAATTCACTGCTATTGAATCTATTCCGACTCATAGAGACCCTATAGGACAGAGTAGAACTGGCCCTGTGGGTTTCTGAGACTATCATTTTTTACAGAAGAGCAAGAAACCTCATCTTCCTCCCATGGAGTGGCTAGTGAGTTCGAACAGTTGACCTTGCTGTTAGCAGCCCAAAACATAAACCAGTACACCACCAGAGCTCCTTTCAGCACCTGAAAAATACTGTGCCACTGCTTTCTAGCTGGCAGGGTGTATGGGGAGAAACTTTCTGTCATCTGAAGAGCTGAAGCTTTATACTAAGATTGCATTTCTCTCTAGTCTTTTTGAAGATGTTTTATTAGAATTTAGCTTTTCCATGTTTTATTATGGCATGTAATATCTACTGACAACATTAGATTGAGTTCAGTAAGGGCAGACATCATGACTCTTGTTCATCCACTGTATATCCAGCACCAAACACGATGCCTGAAACATAACGGATGCTTACTTTCAAAGTATGTTCTGAAAATAATGAAAACTCATAAGTATTTTTGTTTCCATAATAAGTAGCCAGATTGCCAGTGATGCCCTTGGTGATTATGAATATAAATGTGTCTTGAAGTATACTTAGGGAAAAATAGATTAGTATAGTTTTTATGTTTCTGAAAAATACATAATTATTTAACATTTATATTCAGATGTCCTGTAAACATTTCTAAAAACATATTTTTGAATTTTTTTAAATTGTGCACTTACTATTCAAAATATATACCAATTCAACAGTTTCTATATGTAAATTTTAATGATATTGGTTACATTTTTTGAGTTGTGCAGGCATACTCATTACTCTTTTTTGAGTTGTGCCTCCCTTATTAACATAAACTTACTTCCCTCTAAAGTTCCTGTCTCATCTTTCTGGTTGCTTTTGTCAATTTGATCCCATGTGCATAATTCTTAATAGAGCATAATCCTCAAGGCGGACATTCTTTACTACAGATTTAAAGATTGTCTCAGGGCTTCATCCAATACTTTGTTAATTCAGAAAGTTCAAAGTTCATAAGAATTTAAACTTCTGTTCTGCATCTTTCCTCTTTTGATCAAGATTCTGCAATGGAATCTTTGATTAAAATGTTCAGTAATGGTGGCGCTGGTCGCCACCCACTTCTTCTGGTTTCATGGCATAAGCAATTAGTCACACATTCCATATCCTCTTCCTATTTCCTGACCCTCCTTCTTTCTTTGCTGCTCCAGATGAATAGAGTTCAATTGTTCCCTGAGTGGCCACTTGCAAACTTTTAAAATACCAGACACTACACAATGAGCAAGGAAGTAGAACAAATTATTATGCCATGATTTTTCATGAAACCATTACCCTAAACCTCTAAACCAAGGTATTTGTTAAAATGGCCTCAGCAGCTTCTGTCAGCCTCTCTATTTCTCTCTCTAGTCGTTGTTGTAAAAACACTCATGTTTTTCTTATGATGTAGCAACTTATATCCTTATTGTTAGGTGTCATGGTGTCAGTTCTGACCCACAGCTCCAAAGAAACATAGGTATGAGCAAAAATGAATGTTCCGCTCCTCTACTAATGTATTAAATGCCCTTTATGATGATTCTATAGAACTTATCCATTTTGGTCAGGCTTACAATATTTCATCGCAATTAGGAGTGCAAAAGTGAATTTCAACTTACTTGGTAGACAATAGATTGCAATACTATACATGTTTACTCTTAGAAATTTGCCTCCTGAGCAAGAAATCTTTTCCCCCTCCCAGTTCTGTATGTGTATTTGGCATTTACTTGAGTAAAAGTTAAAACTGTGTCAAATTTAGGACAATGAGATCCCAATGAAATATTATTAATGACCAGCAGTTTCTTTTATGTTCTTACCTGCCCTCCCAATGAACGACAGAGTACACCACCACCAAAATTGATAGTGAAGTTTTGTTGTATGTATTTAGCATATGAGAGATGACTTCAAAATGCCCATGGGAAAATTCATTTGTCTTTTAATTACATTTTTGTGAGATTTTTGAAGTTCCCACATAATTTAATTATTGCAATCATATTGCAAAGTATATATTATTATATCCAACTTATCTGAGCACACACACACACACACACAATCACCTGTTTACACAATCACAGTGGAGGATGAAATATGTTCGCAGACTCAGGGTGTCCTTTCAGGTAAGATGCTACAGTTTCTACCTTCTGTCTTTGTGACCTTGTTCCAACAGAGATACTCCTGCTCACATCTTTACCACTGCTTGGCAGTCTATAAACTTCAAATGCAGGTCATTCCAAACTGGCAGTTTTGACACATTGCTGCCTAAATCTTTTCACTAAGTTAAATATCCCTGCTTTCTCCTCCTGTAAACAGTTACCACCTCAGAAACTCCCAGGGGCGGTTCTATCCTGTCCTGTAGGGTCTCTATGAGTTGGCAGCAACTCGATGTCAGAGAGAGTTTTTATAGTCCGCAGAAGACTACTAAATGCCCCTCTTCTTTTTTATTTTATTTATTTATGCTTTTAATAGTTTTATTAGGGGCTCATACAACCCTTATCACAATCCATACATACATCAGTTGTGTAAAGTTCATTTATACATTCATTGCCCTCATCATTCTCAAAACATTTGCTCTCCACTTAAGCCCCTGGCATCAGGTCCTCTTTTTCCCCCTCCCTCTCCGCTCCCCCCTCCCTCCATGAGCCCTTGATAATTTATAAATTATTTTATTTTGTCATATCTTGCCCTGTCCGACGTCTCCATTCACTCACTTTTCTGTTGTCTGTCCACCAGGGAGGAGGTCACATGAAGATCCTTGTAATCGGTTCCCCCTTTCCAACCCACTCTCACTCTACGCTCCCAGTATCGCCACTCACACCACTGGTCCTGAAGGGATCATCCGCCCTGGATTCCCTGTGTTTCCAGATCCTCTGTATCTATTCCTCACCTTCTTTTATAATCTTTATCTAAAATGTAATCAATCTGGACATAAAGATAGTCATGTGAATCTTAAATGACATCAGTTTCACTTGAGATCCATCTTCAGGTCCAATAATTGTTACTGAGCCTGACAATCTAGTAGAAGGTGAGAACATATCAAAATGGAATAATAGTTTATATTTTAAAAGACTTTATGAGAACTGTTTTGGCTCTTCACGTTACATGTAAATTTATTTATGTATGACTAAATTTTCATTTGGAACATGAACAGCTTGTTTCCTACCTTTGATAGGCATGGTGTTTTTTTCACTGTACTCAATAAAAAGGGATAGCAAGTACAGTGAGGGTTTCTGGGGTGGGTACAGTGGTAGTGGGGGTGGGGGGAGGCACTAAAAGGAAAAGAATGTTTTGAACCTGATTGTGGTAGCAATTGTATGATACTGCTTGATGTGATTGAACTATGGATTGCTATGATATCTGTACTAATTCCCAATAAAATGGTTTTGAAAAAAGGTAAAAAATAATGATTGAAAAATCTTTAGGATACCAACTCTATCCAGAAATTCTTGCAAAGAGAATGGGGTAATGATTTATTTTAATAGGTTGAATTTGACACTTTTGTTCCAGAAATACTGAGCGGTACACAGCATATTTCCTGCCTGGCAGTGACCTAGAGTTTTCTGTAAGACCTGAGGTTGGCGAACTCCCTCCTAACAATACTCCAGGCGCTGTCATTAATGTGGGATTTACACCCCAGATGTACAGCAGGAAATATAAAGCAACATTAGTAATACAGGTGAGTTCTAAAAAGACATTAGACAGAGGGATTTGATGTACTAAAGGCATGAGAATGAACTAGGGGGAAAAGGGTCTCATTTATTAATCAAAGAAAAAATAGCACTATTACTTTTCAAAAGTCAACTTATTTCAATAGTTACATCTTGTTTTATTTTGTTTTGTTCATCAAAGGACTTTTAAAAATTAAATATAACAAAAAGATTATCACCACCAAAGGAAAATATGAAAGTACTGCCTTTTCACATTAAGAAAATGTGAAACTGGCAAATAATGACCATAAAGTGATTTGTATATAAATATATTATACTATATAATGAACCTGTTGAAATACTTATTACATGTACATGATTTCAAGTACCAAGATTATGGAGTCCGTTATTAAGGCATATGTTGTTTTAGTACATTGAAGTCTAAAGTGAAGAAATTAAATAGTATATTAAAATATATTTACTTGAAAAAAACTGAGCCCCAAAAGTCATTAAAAAGACAGGAAAAAAAATAAATACCAAACTAGCTATCATAAGAGACTCTGAAACTTGTGCTAAATATAAAATACCTAAAGTGAAAAGAACAAATGATGTTAAAGAGCTGAACAGAAGATTTCAAATAGCAACTCAAGAAGATAAGTGCATGATTGTAATGAAATATCCAATAACATGGAGTTACAAAACTAAAAGAGAAGAACAAGTTCAGTATTTCTCAAACTGAAAGTCAAGCCTTGAATTGCAGTATTGAAGGATTCTGTGATCAATATTGAACACTAAACCAAAAAAACAAACTCACTGCTAACTCATAGCAAACCAGGAAGACAGAGTAGAATTGCACCTGTGAGTTTCTGAGACTTAATTCTGTACAAGAGTAAAGAAGTTCTGTGGTGGAATGGCTCATGGTTTCAAACCATTGACCTTGCAATTAACAGCCTAATGCCTAACAACTATTCCACCAGGGCTCCTTTGGGAACAACAGACAAAGGAAGAATCAAAAGAAGTTAGCAGACATCTTTTTGATACAATGTATTAAAAGTAATTGACTAGAATTCAACCATTTCAGGAGGTAGCATGTCATCAAGAACTTATGATTTTGAAGGAAGAAGTCCAAACTGCACTGAAGGCATTATCAAAAGGCAATCTTCCGGAATAACAATAGAAATGTTTCAACAAATGGTCACAGTGCAAGAAATACTCATTAGTCCATGAAAATAAATTTGGAAAACTGGAAGAGATCCTTATAAGGGCCTTCAAAAAGTTCAGAGAAATTTTGCAAAATCTTTCTCTTCTATTTTTCCACAAACTTTTAGAAGCCCCCTATTACTGGTGTCCATTTTAAAGACTAGTGATCCATCAGAATGCAGAAATTATATAATAATGTGATTATCACAGAAAAGTAAAAATTTTCTGAAGATAATTCAGAACTGATTGCAGCAGTTCAGTGCAAGGGAGCTGCCAGAAATTCAGCCAGGCTAGACTCAGAAAGAAGACATATGATGAAGACATGAAAAGCAAATAATAGCAGAAAGATGTTTACCTGTGCTTCATTATCTATGAAAAGGTATTACACTTTATCAGTCATAACAAACTATGGACAATATTGCCAAGACTGGGAATTCTGGAAGACTTCATTGTGTCATGTGGTAGTCCGTTCTTACAATACACTCGTGTACCCACTGTGTGTCAGGCATGGGGGCAGGTCTCTTCAAGAATGTCATTAATTTGTGCATTAAGTGTATGCTTAATTGTGCTTAAGTGTATGCATGCCCTTTAACGATGCTAAGTTGGGTCTAGACCCCTTCGTGCAACTCTTCCACTTGTACCCACTAAATTATGGGGCTTGATGTAAGTTCCTTAATGGAGTTCACTGAAAAGTGATCACTTCTAAGGAAAAATTTTAAATGATATATTCACAATCAAGACAATGTCGTTTGGGCTTACAAAATGAATATGTATGTGAAGTAAAAGTTATCTAACCCAGAATCAATGTGGTTCTTGGTTTGGCCCGCTTTGGACTCATAGAGTCTGAATTCAGAATAACTACAAACACCAGAAAGTAAGGTCAAACATGATTAAAATAAGACCAGGCTGGCTGTGCAAGAAATCCATACAGGTAGTCAGCATTCATTTGTAGAGAGAATACTCCACATTAAACTCTGGTGGATTAGACTGGACTTAACATGGAATAAGCTTTCTGAATGTGCATGGTACAAATCTTAATAGAATATAATGATTTAGATCAACACAGGTGGATTCAGGAAATTCTCCCAGAGCAAGGAAAGTTTAGTATGAGCACGAGCATGTGGAAAATACTAGACTGCCTAATTGAGCATTGCTTTCTTGCCCATATATACAGCGGGAAAAGGATTTTAAAAATGAGCCCCTGTAACAATTGCACTTACTTGGAATTAGATTATGAATGAATTCAGTGATTTTTTTCACCACCCTCAGAATATTTGAATAGTTATATTAGTTATCAGCTTTTTAATCTAAAAATCAAACGTCCAGTGTTTTGTGCCAGTGGACTCTGTATTCAAATTTAAATTGTCAGGCATAAGTTGACATTGCTAGTTATGTTTTCACTAGCTATAGTTCATGCTGTGTAACAGTTTCATGGAAACCAAATAGATTGCTTCTCCTCATTAGAAGACTGCTTAGCTCACCTACAAAGCGGACCATCACCTGTGACAAATTTTTTAGTGAATTATTCTTAATTCATAAATCAAAGTATTGTCCATGATTTCCTATCCACGTTAATTTTATGTCTGTATAGAGATGGTTTGAGTTTCATACCTTGAAGAAGATGAGATGTTAAGTATAGTAAGTTTGTTCTATTTTTTTTTCTGTCAGCCCCTGTATATGTCATATAAAACCTCGCCCTCTTTTTGTTTCCAGACAGCTGATATGTACTGGTTGTATGAAATCAATGGACTACCTCAACGTACCATACGGCCAAGGAATGTACATGCCAAAATTGATTCTTCTAACAGGACATACAACCGCAGGAGAATTCACAGACGCAATTTTCTGCGGGAAAATGCAAATCTCACAAGTACAGGAGTATCCTCCACCATTAAGGGTGCTCCGTTGATTCATAAGTCTAAATAAATTCACATCCCTCTGAAAATTTGTCTTGGTTTTAAATATAATTGAAGATATTTTCAAGATTATTATTTTATATTTTTTGAAATACTTCTGAGAGATAATAGCTTAATTATAAGAAATCTTCTATATTCTCCTATCTAGAGATCTATGAATATACTGTAGCTCATTTCTGCATTATTTGTGTGTTTTCAAATATATTTGGGGTGAAAACATTAGGGCTGGTTCATTTTTAAGTACAGGAGCAAATTTATAGTGATTTTGAAAACTAGTACTAAAATTCAATTTCTATGGTGCTGTTACTTAGGCGTTTTTAAAAATATGAACGATAAGATTACCATATAAGGCTGAAATTTTCACAATTTCTATATTTATTATTTGGAATTTCATGAGCTATTTGATAAGCAATCACCTAAAAGATCCATGCATGTATGTGTATGTGGTTCATGTGTTCCTGTGTTTACATCATCTTTAAATGATATCAGCACACGTAGAAACGCTCCAGGAAAAAGTTCATTTTGATGCTTGTCTGTTTCTTAGGAGTGAGTTGTTAAGTGAAATAAAGGAGGGCATCCTCCTTGAGACCAATCAATGAAGAAACATAGAAAAGTAATAAACTATCAATACAGACCAGCTTTCAGATATTTTCGACACATTACAACTGGGTCTACCACAAAATCATTAGCATGAGCTAGAGCAAGTCGCATATATTTTGTGTGTCCTATTTTATTTGCAAAATGGAGGAGCTGTACTTGGGCAGGGTTGGCAAGCTATGGCCTAGTGGACAAATCTAGCCTGCCATCTGCTTTGTACAGCTTGCTAGCTAAGAATGCCTTTTATGTTTTTATACGGTTGGGAAAATCAAAGGTGATTAATATTCAATGATGCATAAAAATTATATACAATTCTAATTTCAATGTCCATACATTAGGCTTTCTTGGAACAGCCATAGATCATTATCCCTGTGTTGTCTTTTGCTGCTTTCATGCTACACTGGAAATTAAGCAGTTGTGACAGATCATAAAGTCCCTAATGTCTAAAATGTTTTTCATTACAGAAAACAATTGGACATCCCCTTACTAGCAGTAGATGAAACAGACAGCTAAGTAAGTATCCAGCTAGTAACAGAAACATTGTCAATTCTCATCCATCTAGAGGACTGGAAGAAAGGCCTGGCAGTCTACTTCTGAAAAACTCATAGCTGTTGGGGGTGTCCATGAGTCAGAAACAATCCCACAGCAACTACTTTACTATTAGCTTAAGAATGGCCTATAAGCTGGCTTGGGCTTGACCTTGGCCCCACCACTGTCTCTGCCAGAGCCTGGACCATTTGGAGCCCGTAGGGGGATTTGTTCTCAACACAGCCACAGCTGTAATTTTAATGCAATCCCGATACAATTACCCTCATATTTCTTCAAAGAAATGGAAAAACTGATTACCAACTTCATATGGAGAGGGAAGAAGCCCAGAATTAGGAGAGAACTCCTCAAGAAGAAGGACATAGTGGGAGGGCTTGCTTTACCTGACTTCAGCACATACTATACAGCCACAGTTGTCAAAACCGCATGGTATTGGTACAATGACAGATACTCAGACCAATGGAAAAGAACTGAAAACCCAGAAATAAAATCATCAGCATACAGAAAACTGATCTTTGATAAGGGCCCCCAAAATGTCAGATGGGAAGCAGATGCCCTCTTTAACGAGTGGTGCTGGAAAAAATTGATATTTACCTGCAGAAAATGAACAAGACCCTTATTTCACTCCATGCACAAGAATAAACTCAATGTGGATCACAGACCTTGACGTTAAACCCCAAAATTTTATGGCCATCAATGAGGGAATTGGAACACAATAGGGAAGGACACAAACACAGAGGAGGCACAAATTGGAAAATGGGATATACTGAAGATAAAACACCTGTGTACATCGAAAGAATTCACCAAGAGAGTAATAAGAGAGTCCACGGACTGGGAAAACATCTTTAGCAATGACACATCAGACAAAGGCCTCATTACTAAAATCTACAATACTCTGCTAGCTTCCAAAAAGAAAAAAACTAATTGCCCACTTGAGAGGAAGGCAAAAAGACTTGATAAGAAGTTTCACAGGGACAGAAATCCAAATGGCCAACAAACATATGAAAAAATGTTCCCGATCTTTAGCCATAAAATTAATGCAAATTAAAACAACAATGAGGTACCACCTAACACCCTCAAAGGTAGCCCAATTCAAAAAATCAGCAAACAACAAGTGTTGAAGGGGCTGTGGAGAGACAGGAACTCTCATCCACTGCTGGTAGACTTGTATGTGTGACCACTATGGAAATTGATCTGACGATATCTAAAACAGATGGAAATTGAGTTACCATATGATCCAGCAATCCCCCTCGGGGCATATACTCAGAAGAGGCAAGAAACAAACCAAGGCCAGACATCTGTGCCCCAGTGCTCATTGCGGCACAGTTCCCAATTGCAAGGAGTTGGAAGCAACCCAAATTTCCATCAACTGACGATTGGATTAAAAAACTGGTATATACATACAATGGAGTACTACGCATCACTAAAATGCAGTGATGAACGTATGAAGCACATCGCTGCATGGGAAGAACTGGAGGAAATCATGCTAAGTGAAGTAAGTCAGGCACAAAAGGACAAGTACAACATGAGTCCGACGAGGTAAGTGTTAAAAAAAAATGCAAAAGGGGCATAGGGAAAAAGCTACTATATACAAACATTCTTGTGGTGAGGACCAGGTAGCATGGCAGGGACCAGATCAAATGCAGGGATGAACATGGTAGACCACTGAGGAGGAGGTGGGGAAAGGGGAAAAAATGAAAATAAGGAAGAAATGGGTAGTGGAAGCACGGGATGTTAACCCACCCAAGGGGAGGGTCTTGTTTATATCTCCACAGGGAAAAAGGAACAAACTTCAACCCAGTGTCCCAAGGTGTGAATGCAACATTCTGGTGTGGAGTAGGGAACCAGTGGAGAGGTCTGGGGGGCTGGCCCCAGTACCAAATACTAAGTGGATTTCTGCCCCACCCCCTGAAGAATTTATTTCAAAGGACGGCACTGAACCTGCAGCTCCAGGAAAGGGACATATCTGATTGGAGCACACTGGAACAGATGAAGGGGGAGGAGGAGCGTCTGGAGCACACCCTGGCCCACCAGGCCTTGAGGATGATGGCCCTAATTAGAGCAGCCAGTCCACAGAGAGGACTGCATGACCAGCCCCACTATGAGACATGACGCCCCTCACTGATCCATGCCCCTGCGGAGAACAGCACCAGAAACACAGTGTGGGAATTGTGCCCGATCTGATGCCACCACACCAAGGCAGTGCAGCAGAACAGCAAGGGAATGGAGCGGCAAGTCCCCATGGAATGCTGATGGTGGACTTTGGGGTCAGGGGGTGGTGCCCCAACAGACTGTACTGGAAATCACTCCTAAAGGCCAACAAACGATCCTTGAACTAACTACAAGTTTTTCTTTCTTGTTATGTTTTGATTTGTTCTTTGTCAGTGGTTTGTTGTGGTGGTTTTGTTGTATTTTGTTGCTTGGTTTTGCTCTGTCTTGTTTTTGTGCATGTTATTATCTCCATAGGTCTGTCTAAATAAGATAGGCTGAATGAACAATCTGAAGGAGAAAACAATGGGAACGACAGTTCCGGGGGGACATGGGAGAGGGGGAGGTGGGGGGAA